ATGTCATTAAAATGTGATTGGAGTGTCTTGTTATGAGATATTTTCATTACTTGATGCTTTGTTGAAATTTCCCTCAACCCGACTGGTCCTCGATTGCTTGGTAATTGCCCAGGATGACTTTTGACAACAGTTTCAAAAGGGGCTGTGAATTGGCTTCATATCAGAAATGTATTTTCCTTGGTAACTTTATGTGGTACAATGGTGGGTCTGGAATGAAGATTTCTATTCTGTAGCCAAGTTGAGCAAGAATTTAATCTCCCCCAAGAGCTTACTCTCAGCTTTTCTTATGACTTCAGAAGAATGGGAGGTAGAGTGCTCAAAAATCAGTCAGCCGCATCTCAATCGTATGTTCCACATATTCTCTATAATAGGCCTCTGTTGGTCATTAACCCCAGGTAATCAGCTGTACCATCCCAGCTAAAAATCCGCCTGCTTACTGCAAACTATTTTCCAGTTGAAATGTCTTAGTTTGGCTGTAATGGGCTCCTCCTCATTTTATGGCCTCTTATGTTCTTCAGCACATTGCCCTTTTCACACGCAATTACCTCCTCAGCTCCGTTTCAGGCTCATTAGAAGGACTTGCAGGCTTATCCTTCCCTAAAAGCAGAGGCTTCAAGGGATATGACAAGTTCTTCTGCTTCTGGAAGAGGATCATTTAGCTCATCTAAAACTGTAAACTGTAAAGCCATTGAATTTCAAAGTGGGAAGTCAAAGTGAGCATATGTTTTGTTATGGTAGACCTGTGTTGCAATAGACAGGGTCACTAAAGGAAGATAAATGTGAGTTATTATATCAACTTTTAGTTTCTTAATTTGGCTACTGACACTGTATTATTTTAACACTCAGGATTTCTGCTGCACATCCCTACGTATTTTAAATCATCTGGGCATAGTCCACCAATGATGAGCTTAAAGACTGGTGTGACGGGGGCTATTATAAAATTCAGTAGAAGTTTGACCCCCAAAACAACCATGCAAACTTTCAAGGTGTTTACTATGCTTTGACATCTACTTCATTGTATGTTTCTGAGAATAAAAGAGGGCCAGCTGATTATTATCTAATGTAAGCCCATGTAGCAGAGGCTCAACTGCACTCCTTTAGAAACATTTAGACCTCGATAACCTTCAGAGCAGGGCATACAACTCTATAGTCAGCAAATAGCTCCAGCCAGTCATTATAGTCACATTGCCTCATGGTAAGGTCACCTATACCTTGTTAGATATAACTGATCTTTTGATGTTAGCTGTTGTTGGCCCATTTATTAGTAAATTGTGTGGTTTGCTTTTAAATGTCAGGCTCACTATGATGTAATAATAAGTTGTATTTTGTATAATTTGGAGTAAATCTTAACATGCTCCAAGAATTGTTTTATTAAAAATGAACAAAACAGTACATCTAACAGCTTTGTCCTGTGGGTTTGGTTTGTTGCATGACCCGAGATCATGAATGGTTGTTGTTGAAGTTCCCAGAAGTGAAATAGGACATTTTGATGGATGCACTGGAGAGTCAGATACATAGTTTTGAATGCACAGCTGCCAACACACTAAAACTAGTTCTGTAAGGAGAGATACTTTGGAATGATATTTATGGCGGTGTGAATGAAAAGAGTTACATTTCTACACAATATCATTTGTCAGATATAGTGGTGTCAGAATTGTGAATGTTGGAATTTTGACAATGTGGGAAAATGGAAGTGAAGGAGACGATAACAGACACTGTGAAAAGTGAAAGAAATTATCCTCCTTTTTTTAACTTTTTTACTTTTTAACAAAACTTCATGAGGATGTAATGGTTTTTAAACTCATCTACAAGAACTATTCAGAATATACCAAAACCTCAGAACACTTACTGTACATCAGTGCCTCCTATACTTTTTGGCTTATGACCCTTAAAATAAGCATTGTCTGATGACCCATCATCACAGGTTCTGCCTTAGTGTGAACATGAGCTGTGAGCAGCAAAGAGCAGCATAGTTTCTGCTGTGTAGAAGGACGTTGTACTCATCTTAACCTAATCAGTGCACAGGCAACAGAGGAACAATGAGTGGTATTAAGTACAGTTGAGTCTGATGATAATAATGAGATAAATTCCCATACATTTTAATAGCATGGCCAAATGGAAAAAGAGGATGAAGCTGAGAACTGATCCTTGTGAGATCCCGCATGGTGACAGAACATGTTCTGAACCTGATACATGAGAGACATTAAACTGAAACCAGTTTGGGGTTGACCAGAAAGTCCAGACCTGACACTGAAGTTTAACTAATAAGTCTTTTCCTACATAACTGATGCAAAACTGTTACATTGAAAGCATTTGGAAGATTCACAGCATGAGAATTGAACTGCTTGCATATTGGTTGTTGATAGGATGCATCGACAATACTTAATTTTCCATTAATTTAATGTTTTCAAAGCTACATATAAAAACAAAAAAACACTACATTCAGTTGCTGAAACTGCAAATTACAGTGTGATGCAGGACAGTAGCTACCATGAATGCCCTCCCTATCTTTTTATCTTTATTGTGAATTTGGGAGGTTTAGTAGGACCAGGAACAGGAAGATAAGGTGTGGGTCGTCACATTAGCAACCTGCAGGGAGTTTACAATTAAACACATAAAAATGGTATGTATTTATGAGAGTACATTATTTAAATCTGACTTCTTTTAGGCCAATAAATGAATAAATCAATAAACTTTCAGTATTCAAAATTTTCTTCCTGGCAGTGTAGTGGACTGGATGATTTCAACTGTGTCTTTTCTTGCCCTTTCAGACAGTCCCCAAAACTGCAAATGCTTTATTTGCAATCACAGAGACACAGGGAAATATAGAGTGGACTAAAATAGACCAGTCACTCAAATCTGGATAAATAATAAAGACATCATACTGCTTGCTTCATGTGGAGACGAGAATAGCTTTGTGATGCAACATCACAGGAAAGGACTTAACAAAAGCTAACCGTACATAACACTTCAAAGTGGGATGAAATATTTAGCAACACAACTCTTTGGGCTTCTCTGCATCTTTCAGTTGAGTAGCATGTTGGTGTTCATCAGCCAGACATCTGTTTGCCTGTTGATTTATGGCAGGTTTGATTTTTTGATTGTCAACTTGACCAATCACAAATGCATTTAATGTTGGTTTAAATTCTGTCCTTTCTGATACAGTTGCTTATTTATCATTTCCCTTCTACAGCATCAGAAGGCCTATATCTGATGTAATCGAGTCATATCTCTCTATCTGTGTGTGTGTGTGTTTCTCCATATAGCCCTGAGCTAAATCTGATAAAGCAAAGTTATGTTACCCTCATTCAGTCTCTTCATTCACTATTCTCGCTGTCTGGCACAACTTCATAACATTTTTTTCCTTCACAGATGACTCCTCCAAAGGGATTTATGTAAGTTGCCGTGCCTGGAGTATTCTCAGTTTAGATCCCATCTGATTAAATATAAACACATATTTTATTTCACTTGAAACGAGATTCTCTTGTCTGTGTCTCGTGAATTCAACAGGAACCTACTGTGTAATTCAATACAGCAGTTTGACTGAGGGGAGAAGCACAGCTGAGAACATTTTAAGAAGTGAAACAGTCAAATGAATCTTTTTCTGTAGTCTTGTTTTATCCAATACATAAGTGCCCTCTAGTGGAAGAGATTAATATCTCTACATCTCCACATTGCTGAGTTTCTTTTTTGCAGAGATAAAAAAGTTGATTTACAACAAACAACAATAAATTGTAAAAGGCACAGATGAGAAACATAAACTAAATGTCCAGAAGATTATAGTTTATTGGTTCAGTAGGCATGATATCATAAACTTTGAAACCAAACTAAATGGACCAAGACGTATTGTGTCCTCTGAGAGCAGAGGTTTGTACTCACCTGTACATGTTCTGAACATGACACACAAGTGATAAGAAATATCACTTCAGAAATGTGACGACTGGCAATATTGTTTTTGACATTTTGTCTTATAGTGTTCCCTCTGTTCCTCTGTCATTTCAGTCCATTTTAGGGGCAAAAATGGTCAGACTGTAAGTGTTATTGTCTGTAGGTTTGATGACACTCTCTCAAATGGAAATACAAACATAGTGTATCACTGTACAGATGCTTTGGCCTGAGAGTCTAATAGAAATATATTGAAGAACTAAAATTTTAGAGTTCCTCTGAGAGGGAACCCTACTCGGCCACAATATGACCAACTAACATGATTAAAACCCAAATAATAATAACCCAAAATACTGTGAACTGTATTAGTGTTAGGACTGTGTTATTTTTTTTATTGTTTCGGCTCTGTTCAGTAACTACAAGGTTAAAGTGCTGGCTTTGAGTTTTATAGCAGTCTGAGGTGTAGACAGTGTGGGGAGATAGGGTATATGTAAAAACCCTAAAATTAAAGTTGGCACTTACAAGTATTGTTTATCTGCGTCTGAGCCATTATTTTGCTTTAACATATTTTAAAGGCAAACAGTTTCTACTTAGATACATTTTAGTTTTTCATTCTGTTATTATCTCTCACACACACATACACAAACGCAGACACATGTTCACTCAGAGCAGGTTAATGAATCTGGCCCACTGCTCTGTTCCTGTGTTACTGTCTAATAAAAGGCCTAATTAATGCATTTAACCTTTAGTTATCAGGCAGACTATCCTACCAAACACAAATCCCAGTCCCAAATCCCCACTCAGTGTTTTCCACTCTGCCACTTCACAAATTTATGACCTGAGGGATTAATTTCTTTTGCTGTAAAGATACATTTTGACCTTGTGGAAATAATGCAATAGTTTCTGTTTTTAGCAAGTAACATCATAAGATTGTTACTTTAATAAAAAAAATGGTGTCTATGTTGTACATGTTTGCCAATTCTAGACTGTGTTAGATAAAGTTTCTTCTTGTTTTCGTGAATGAAAGAGAGAATGAAGTCTCTTTGATTTCTGGCTCCCCCTGCTGTAAGAGTGTATCTACAAGTGCTTGATTTCAGTCATAAGACAAACTGATGTCCAGGAAAAAGGATGTTTAATCATTGTACAGTGTGTTATGTTTTTAACACATTATTATGCATTTCAGAAATCCTTTACAGCAAAAGAATTTGCAGATGAGACATTTCTAGTGTATGTACAACTTGCCAAAGCATGTCATCAGTAGCATAATAATAATAGTAATGTATAGCATTACTTAATGAATATTTTATTACAATTTTTATTAAAGTTGCTATTACTGTAGGGTTTGTATTGAGCACTCATTGTGTATTACACTGTGGTGAAACAAATTCTTTTATGTTTTGTGTGAAATTACTCTCCCTGCCAGAGGGGGAGACAAATATTCTGCATTGCTGGTTGAAGGTCAGGGTGCTTTGACAGGTCATGTGGCTGCTAATCTGCTCATTTACCATCACTGACATCAAACAAGTGGTCATTTCTAAAGTGCTGTTGTTATTTAAAGTCCATGAGTCTCTGCCTCAAGTAGTGGCCTGAGGGTGACCTCTCTCCTGTAGGAGAAGTGGGTGAGTTTGACTCTGTAGTACATCCTCTCCCTGTGCTGCAGCAGGCAGTAAAGAGACAGGATAAACTTAGCCAGTGCCAGTGTGCAGGTGATCAACACCACCAGCAGTGAGGTGTAGATCATCATCTGATATTTGCACCGCTGAAGTTTGTTTTTGTAGGAAGATGATCGCTCCTGAGTGGCTGGCTCCTTGGGATGAACGATGAAGATCATTGGAGTGGTTTGTGAAGGAGGTGTCATAGTTGTTGTAGATGGAGTTGTTGTAGTGGGCATAGGCGTACTTCTTGTTGTGGTGGTGGTCGTGGGTAGAGATGTTGTTATAGTGGTGGTAGGTGCAGTTGTTGATATGGTGGTTGTAGGCGCAGTTGTTGCAATAGTGGTTGTAGGTGTAGTTGTTGTTATAGTTGTGGTGGGTACAGTTGTTGTTATAGTGGTTGTGGGTACAGTTGTTTCTATAATGGTCGTGGGTGCAGTTGTTGCTATTGTTGTTGTGGGTACAGTTGTTGTTATAATGGTCGTGGGTGCAGTTGTTGCTATTGTTGTTGTGGGTGCAGTTGTTGTTATAGTTGTTGTGGGTGCCCTTGTTGTTATAGTTGTTGTGGGTACAGTTGTTGCTATGGTTGTTGTGGGTGCAGTTGTTGCTATAGTTGTGGTGGGTGTAGTCGTTGTGAGAGTTGTCGTTGGTACGAGTCCTGTGCTATAGTTGTGTGGGTCGAGTCTTGGCTGATAGTTGTTGGGGGTACAGTTGTTGCTATAGTTGTGGTAGGTGCTGTTGTTGTTATAGTGGTCGTGGGTACAGTTGTAGTTACTGTTGTTGTGGGTGTGGTTGTTGGCAAAGCAGTGGTTGTTGGTATTATTGTGGTGGTGGTTGGCAAAGTGGTTGTTGGTGTTGTGGTAGTAAGTATTGTGGTTGTTGGTTCTGTAGTTGGGAGTGTCGTGGTAGTTGTGGTGGTGAGAGTGGTTGTGGAGGGAAGAGTGGGGCAAATAAATTGATCCTCTGTTAATGATTGGATTTCCTTCCCTTTTAGATCTTCTGGATACTCACAAACCACAGGATTCATAATCTTGACAGAGGTCGCCTTCAACCAGAGGTGAAGATGTATCAGATTGCAGTCACAGTGCCATGGGTTGTCACTGAGGTAAAGTTTTTGGAGTTTTACTAAATGCTGAAAAATATCTTCAGGAAGCGTCTGGAGGTTGTTGTAAGCTAGCTTGAGTGTGGTCAGTGATGGTAGCTTTGCAAACACATTTGCATCCAGCGAATTTATCTTGTTGTTCAGTAGATTCAGCTCTGTAAGCTTCTCAAGGCCTTCAAAGTACTCAGCATGCACGGTGACAAAGTGATTTTTAGACAGATCTAGCTTCTTGAGTTTCTTCAGAGGGCTGACTATTCCTTCAGGAAGAGTGTTGAGATTGTTTTGACTGAGACTTAACTCAGTCAATTTAGGCATTGCTCCAAAAAGCACTGGTGGTAGAGTGCTTAGTTTATTCTTCTGTAGCGTCAGTGAACTAAGCTGAGGGAAGCCAACAAAAAATTCTTGAGGTAAACTAGTCAGAAGATTACTATCCAAATAAAGCTTCTTTAGTTTGTCTTTATGTGGTAATAGATTTGGTGGTAATTCTGCTATTTTGTTTCCATGCAAGCCAATTTCCTTCAAATTTGGCAAATTCTGAAAAATATCTTCAGGAATTGTGGTTAGCTGATTCTCGTAAAGTCGTAATATCTCCAGTTTGTTTAGCTTTGAGAACCAGTCGGTATATACAGCAGAGAGATTGTTTTTACCTAAATGGAGGAGTACAAGGTTTTCAACACCATCAAAGGACCCGCCTTCAATCAATTCAATCTCGTTCCCATTTAACTGGAGCTCTCTTACTTTTTCAAGGCCATCAAATAAGCCTTTCTCTAGACTGCGGAGCTTGTTTAGCTTTAGTCTAAGCCTCTCCAAGTTGCTGAGGTCTTTAAATACTCCCACTGGGATTGACGTTAGTGGACTGTTGGAGATCTCAATATCCTTGAGGTCTACCAAACCTTTAAAAGCTCCCGGCTCAATAGATGTCGTATCAGTGTTCAAGAATTCCACCTTTTCAAGCTGGGGGTTTTCTAGAAAGGCTGCTTTAGGGATTGTTTTAATTTGGCTATCCAGAAAAAAAACCTCTGTCACGCCTGGTCTCAGGGTTTGTGGGATTTCTGTGGCAGACCGGAAAACAATCTGGCAGTCTGTCTCCTTTTCACATTGCTTGCTTTGAGTCGATGAAGATTCAAACAGTAAACACAGAAAAAGAAAGATGATTTCTCCTCTTGACATGTTTATTCACTAAAAAAGAAAAAAAGGCAACAATGTATAATTTATAAAATTGAGTAGATTTAATTTTAACCCTATGTTGTTGTTTTTTGCAATAATGATCCGTGATCAAAAGTATCAGTGACATCATACAAAGTTATCATTAAATCTATGTGCTGTTACTGTCAAATTTAAAAAACAAATTTGCCTACCTTCTTATTTCTTGTCCCAGTATGAAAAAGGTTGTTGCAGCAATGAGGAGACACAAACAAGCTGAGTCTCATTAGTTATCTTATGTATCAATGTTGGCCAGCAGGCTTTGTGTGTTGCATCGCATGTGGGGAGTGGTATAACACACTTCTGCAGCTTGAGATAAGAGGAAGGACGGACGTTTTTTTTTTAATTCCAGCCACTTACTCCATTGCTCGTGAGATTACCAAACTGATATATTTTTCTTATTTCTTATGATCACTGACATTTTAACAGAATTCACAAACTCTTTGTTTTCAATATTCGGAATACTCTAAATTAATATAATTTTTAAAACAATGTCTGTTATCAATACATACAAATAAACTGAATTTAAATTTTAAATTTTATGGATGATCACCACTGACTCTAAGACTGCAGTACCTAACATCCAATGTGTTAGGTATGTTATGTTCTCCACCTTGGACAGTAATGAAAGCAACAGATGTTATTTTAAAAGCTTGAAAATGTATGCACATACTCTAAATGTTAACATGCTCTATGGTATGTAAACATTTTGTTATTTTGAAAATATACATGTTCCTACAACTAGAAAAGCAGACACCAACTCCATTTGACCTCTATCTCCAGTTTGTTGATTATGTTTTCTTTCTTACTAGAACTTTGTTATTGTTAGGGGACAATTAGACATACATTACAACATACATGATTCATTTGTTTTGTCTGGTATCTGTAATTGCAGGCAAAGTACAAGGGTGGGATTTTTGGATTTTTGCCAAAGGTTTCAAACATATTCTGTCTTCCTTCCATTAGATGGCAGTATTTTATACTGTATATAACCAATTTAATCAAGAGATGTAGTAGACATAGGTTAGATAAAGCTGAAGTTCCTACCAGTGGTAAATATACATCATCACTCCATTAATCTGTGTTTATAACAAAGAATAAAGTTTTGCCTCACAAAAATATAGATTGCTGTGAATGCAACCCAAACATTTGTGGTACAGTATCATGCTGTTCCTCCTTCACCATGACCACTTTTAAATTTACTCAGTGGTTTTGTTCTTCTGTAAACTGAATTGGCAAAATCAACATAATCAGAAACATACTGGTGATTAAACATTCTGTCTACTCCCTATTGGCTATTTAGTGATCACAGGAGGAACATCAAAGGCCATAACATGATGTATAAATATCAAAATATCAATACTTTTAGATGTGTTGATGTATTTTTTTTTCATGTACACGTGTAATGATACCGTCTATTTTTATTTAGGTTATATTCTCCTGTACATATGATAGCCAAGATAACTTGCTATCACATTCAAGTAGATGGAGGTTTGCATCTAATACCACTTTGTTCTGTAAGTGAGTCATACAATGAAAGATTGCTCCCACTAAAAGTAGTGCCTTTATTGAATGAGTAGTAGCATTTTGAGTTGTAAATGTGGAAACCATAGGATGAACTGTGTTACAGTGGAGTCACAATGCTGTGTTTTCATGCCATCTCCTAAATGTATTGATGTTAGCACAAAAAGCCATTGTCAAACTGCAATTATTGAACTGAAAAATGGAAAATAATTTGCAGAAAATACTGAATGCACTCTTAACTTTACTAGAAAACTGTGAAACACTATTTCAGTGTATCTGAGGTTACATTCACAAAAATGTCCCGGTTCTCCACAAAATGGCAAGGTGGGTGTTTTTACAGTTAATACATATGATGTCTGTTTTTACAGTACATAGGAAATGAATACTGTCTAAATTTTATCATTGAATTTGAAAGCTAATGATTTCAAAAGTTTACTTGTTCTAGCCGGTACATCTGAATGGAGCTGGAGTGGTTATTTCTGTTGCCTTTGAGGCTCTAAAATCAACTCTAGGCTCCACATTTTCCAAATAAACCACAGTATTTAGTGAGCAGTTTCACTTGGCTTTAAAGTTCTTGGGTTGCTGGGATGTTGGGTAGTCGAGTCTACAGCACAGAGTTCTTGTTTCTGCTGCGTATGTTTCCCCTGCCTCTCTTGTTTCTCCTCCAGCACACACAGCCAATGATGACAGTGCTGATGATGGCAGTGGACACTACTGCGATGATGATGAGGATGATTGAAGTGTTATTGGAAACCGTTTCCTTCTCCCCTTGTCCACCACTGGTGACCTCCTCATGCTTTGTGGTGGGGGTGGTCTTGACAGCAGGTGAGGGAGTGCTACGTCTGGTTGGAGGGGTATGGGGTTTTCTCCTCTTCTCTGTTGAGGTCAACACAGGCTCCTCAGTGGAGCTGAGAGGCATCAAGTTCTCATCTGTCAGCAGAGCAATTGCTTCACCATTCAGACTGAAAGGTGTTTCACAGACCACAAGTGTTTGGTTGGCCTTGGTTGGATGCTTTGTCAGCCAGTCCCTAAGTGGCAGAATATCCTTGTCACACTTCCAGGGGTTCTGCTGCAGGAGTACTTCAGTAGCTACAGTGAGGTCATCAAGACTCTTCTGTGGCAGGTTGGGAAGGGAGTTATTTCGCAGGTCAATCTGTCCAAGGTGGCTCACGCCCTGGAGAAAACCTGAAGGGAGGGAGCTGATGAAATTGTTCTCCAAGGAAATGTTGACCAGATTGGGCAGACCTTGGAAAGTCCCAGCTTGCAGGGTTGTGAGCCTATTCGTGTGAAGTGATACCTCTCCAAGTTGCTCCAGTCCTGTAAAGGCCCTGGTGGATACAAAGCTAATTTGGTTGCGACTGAGCACCAGGAGACGCAACTGAGTCAGGTTCTTGAATGTGTCATCTTCCACACGGTTTAGCTTGTTGTCATATAGCCACAACTCCTGCAGGGCAAGAGGCCCAAACACCCCTGGTGCCAGAGTTTCCAGCTGGTTTTCATACAGGGAGATCTGTGAAAGTAAGGGTAGGTTTAAGAAGATCCCCTGTGGAAGAGATGTGAGCCTGTTGTGTGAGAGGAATAGCTTCTGGAGTTTCAAAGTCTTGGAGAACAGATCATGGGGGAGATGAGTGATTAGATTGTCATGTAGGGAAAGTTCCTCCAGGTTTCCAAGGTCATCCAAACTGCCAGGAGGGAGTTGGTGTAGTGAGTTTTTGTTAAGCCGTAAGGTTTTCAGCTGAGAAAGACCCTTGAATGTTTCTTTAGATAGTTGACTGATATTGTTTCCAGAGAGATAAAGGACCTGCAGCTCAGCAAGAGGGTGAAATGTTTCCACAGGTACAGAAGTAAAAAGGTTCTTACTGAGGTCAAGGAGTTTCAGATCTCTCAGCACAGAAAACCAGTTAGGACGGAGGACCAGGAGTTTGTTGCTCTTCAGATTTAGAGACTTAAGGGCCGGAAGATTTTGGAACAAGGACTCAGGGAGATCTTGTAGTTCGGTGCCAGTGAACCCTAAGGCACCCATGTTTGGAGTGGAATCAAATGTGCCAAGGAGCACTTCCCTCAGAACAGTGTCTTTAATCAAAAATATGTTAAGGGTATTAGAGAAATCAGTCAAGTCCTCTGGTTTTAGAGAGTAGAAACTGCAATTGGAGAAGTAGATGCTTGTGGTTGATGGGGTCACAGTTGTGGGGAAGTCTGAGAGGCCACTGCAGAGCATTGATAGTCCTTGACATTTGCATCCATCCGGACACGCCCAAATGACAGCATTAAGGGAACAGAGAAGTAGAAGCACATGAAGGGTCAGGGAAAGATCCATTGTTTCCCTAGAACAGAAGAAATGGCTATGTTACAGTCATGGTTGGTTATGGATCTTGTATCATGTTTACATTGATAGTTAAGGGCTTTGTGAACATAATGTACAATATAGCCATTTTTGTCCTTGAAGGTCCAATGTATATTATTCATAGGTATGTTTTTATTAGTGTATAAAGACCTAAAAATAAGAATCTTTGTGGGGTTTTTTTACCTTAGACCCTGGCTTTAAGGTAGTTGAGTCAAGTTCAAGAACTCAAAGACTCTGGCTGCACAATTTGAATAGAAAGTAAGTGTTGCAAATGGTGCTGTCCAAAATACCACCAAGATGGCGGAAACACAAAATGATGGAGATAAAACACTGAAATATACCACAAAACATAAATGTTTGTGTTTCTAAACTCCTATTTAATTAGAAATTATTGTTGGCTTCATATTACAATAAGGTTTACTCTTGCAAATGGGGAAAATAAACTGCTCCACTGTAAATATTATAAAATTCTAAACCTTTTATTAAATTATTAAAGCATTAATATTAAGGGGTACATTTTTGCATTTGTTGTGTTTTTACTTGCACTACTCTCTGAGATTTAATGTACAATTGTTGTTAGCTTCCAGAGACTGTTGTCTGTTTTTTATTCTCTCGCTGAGAGAACAACCACCAATGGGATTCTCTGCACTTCAAATAACCACCATAATAAGGCAGTTTTACTGAAGGCTACTCTAATTAGTAACAGTCCCCATGTGTTGCAGCCTCAGCATTCTTGTTTTAACCAAAAAGGATACATTTGCATAAATTGATTCAGTGTTGTACTTTGTTGCCTGTCAGCATTGTAACCAGCATTGGCTGGTGAATCACTATGCTTATGCTGTATTTTGGCATTAAAACCATTTATTCAAGATTTGTCTTCAACAGCAATTTCGGACCTCACATGTTGAATTCAATTACATTTTGTTTGTATAGTGCCAAATCATAACA